GGCTCCTGGCTTCAGATTAGCCCAACTCTAGTGTTGCAGCCATTTAGGGAGTGAACCAGTGGATGAAGGACCTCTCTCCTCTCTCTCTCCCTCCCTCCCTCCCTCCTTCTCTCTCTATCTCCCTCCCTCCTTCCCCTTTCCCTTCCCCTCCCTCTTTATCTAACTCTGCCTCCTAAATAAATCTTTTAGAAAAATATAAGCAACATATTAAAAAACAGAAGATCCTCATGCTGGTCCAGGAGAGAACAGGCACAATCTTCCTTTGTTTCCCATATTCTTTTGTTGGTGGCTGGGTGTTGGTGGTATCAGTGTGCTCTTCACTGGGAAAAGGGTAGGTAAAATGCAGAGAGTACCCCCATAAACTACTGATCAGATATCACCACAGGAACATGGATGGGTGTTGAATACTGTGTGGAATAAGGTCAAATGATTTTTACATATATATATATATACACACACATACACACACACATACACTGTCTTGGTAAATTTTAAATTACATACATATAAAGTAAGATATTCTGCAAGAACATAACCACACTAAAAGATAATCAAAAGATACATTGGAATGATTACAGTGGGAAAATGAGACTGAGATATGAGGGTAAAAGGGAAAAAATAGGAAGCTATGTGAGCAAAATGAGGAAATGATAGTATCTGTCCTAGGTTTGCTTGCTTGAATTTTTTTTTTAAGGTTTATTTATTTATTTTTGAAAGTCAGTTAACAGAGAAAGGGAGAGACAGAGAGAGAGCTTCTTTCCACTGGTTCACTCCCCAAATGGCTGTAATGGCCAGGGCTGGGCTGGGCTGGGCTGAAGACGGGAGCCAGGAACTTTTTCAGGGTCTCGCATATGGGTTCAGGGGCGCAAGCACTCAAGCCATCTTCTGCTGTTTTCTCAGATTTAGCAGGGAGCCGAATCAGAAGTGGAGCAGCCAGGACTTGAACCGACGCCCATATGGGATGCCAAGCACTGTAGGCGGAGGCCTAACCTGCTATGCCACAATGCCCCCCCCCCCAAAGATTTTATTTATTTATTTGAAAGGCAGAGTTAGGGACACACACACGCACACACACACACACACACACACACAGATCTTCCATCTGCTGGTTCACTCCCCAAATGGCCACGACATCCAGGGCTGGCCCAGACCAAAGTCAGGAGCTTGGAACTCTATCTGAGTCTTCCACCTGGATGGCAGGGGCCCAAGCACTTGGGCCAACTTCTGCTGCTTTCCCAGGCTCATTAGCAGATAGCTAGAGCAGAAGCGGAGCAGTCAGGACTCAACTGGCACTTATGTGGGATGCTGGCATCACAGGCTGCAGCTTCACCTACACTGTGCCACAATGCTGATCCCAGTGCTTGCCTGGAGAATTAAATGAGACGTTTCAAGTAATGACCTGGGACAGCCTGATGCCTATTTAGCCTTGCCTTCAAAGTAAGGAGGGTTTACCAGGCCTTTGTTGATCTGTTCTCTTCCCCTCTCTCCCAGGTCTTGTTTGCCACGGAGACCTTTGCCATGGGCGTAAACATGCCTGCCCGCACAGTAGTGTTTGACTCCATGCGCAAACATGATGGCTCCACCTTCCGGGACCTGCTTCCTGGGGAGTACGTGCAGATGGCAGGCCGGGCAGGCCGGAGGGGCCTGGACCCGACAGGCACCGTCATCCTGCTCTGCAAGGGCCGAGTGCCCGAGATGGCAGACCTGCACCGCATGATGATGGTGAGTGGGGTGGGGTGCGGCTGGGTGAGGCCTGTCTCCAGCCCCAGCACCTGCTCGATTCCCTCTCTTCCAGCCCTCTTCCCCTCTCCTCTCTCCTGACTTTATTTGCCTGGGAGAAGCCAAGGTATAAATGGGCAGATCCAAGGATGAACTTAGATCCCATATCTTACAGCTTTTCCTCTACTTTGAATGTGGAGCTAGATGGGGCCTTTGGGACTCTTTCTTTTTGCTCCCTGTGTTACAGACAGTGAGCACGTGGTTTGTCTAAGGCCCCCTGAGCGCAGGGCTGGCACCTGGCTGGGGAGCATACAGCCCCACCCCGATCTTACAGACTTGTCGGACTCATTTCCAGGGGAAGCCATCCCAGCTGCAGTCCCAGTTCCGTCTCACCTATACCATGATCCTCAACCTGCTGCGGGTGGACGCCCTCAGGGTGGAGGACATGATGAAGAGGAGCTTCTCCGAGTTTCCATCCCGCAAGGACAGCAAGGTGAGGAGTTTGAGCTGACCAGCTTACGGGGCAGGAGATGGAACAAAGCCAGGCTGGAAAGAGGTGGGCGACTGGAGGCCAGCTGGGCGGAGGTGAGGGCTATAGCAGGTTGGGCCTGGAGACTTGTTTCACAGCCTCCCTGGCTTCTGCCCAGGCCCATGAGCAGACTCTGGCTGAACTGAGTAAGAAGCTGGGGGCCTTGGAGGAGCCCGATGTGACCGGCCAGCTGGCAGACCTGCCCGAGTATTACAGCTGGGGAGAGGAACTGACAGAGACCCGGAACGTGATCCAGGTAAGAGGGGTGTGTGTGTGTGTGTTGGGGAGGAGATGGGGAAGGGAGAAAGAAGGGTCAGCTGGTGCTCCACACTTAGTCCCCGTGTCCCTGCGATGTCTCCCTCGTGTCCCCTCTGTGCCCCCCCCCCCCCCACAGCGGCGCATCATGGAGTCTGTGAATGGGCTGAAATCGCTCTCAGTGGGAAGGGTGGTGGTTGTGAAGAATCAGGAACATCACAATGCGCTGGGTGTGATCCTGCAGGTGAGGACCATGGGAATCTGGACTCTGGAGGGGGTGAGGGAACAAGCCTCAACTTGGGGGCAGGCTGCGGTCACCATGACCGCCTTGTCCCCGAGTCCCATGACGTCTTCTCTGAATGCTTGGCTTGGTCCCTTCTCAGACCAGTGGGCTCTGTGTGGTTGCTCCCTGATCCCTGCCCTCCATGGCCGCTGTTCACCGGCCCATTCTGGCTTTCCTGCCTGCCCAGGTCTCCTCCAACTCCACCAGCAGAGTATTCACAACCTTAGTCTTGTGTGATAAGCCCATGTCCGAGGACCCGCAGGACAAGGGGCCGGCCACTGCCGATGTGCCCCACCCAGATGACCTCGTGGGATTTAAGCTGTTTCTGCCTGAAGGTGTGAGTGGGGCAGATGTCCAGCTTCCTGGCAGCAGGGTGAGCAGGATGCCCGCATGGGTGGCAATGTGTGGCCTACACTTCCCTTTCCACAGGGCCCTGTGACCACACTGTGGCCAAGCTCCACCCGGGAGACGTGGCTGCCATCACCACCAAGGTGCTCCGGGTGAATGGGGAGAAGATCTTGGAAGACTTCAGCAGGAGGCAGCAACCGAAATTCAAGTCAGATGCTGGGCAGGCCCTTCTCCTGGGCAGAGTATAATATGGGGTAGGGGGGTATGTGGTGAGGGGGCTCCCCCAGTCTGAAGAGGACCATGGAGCAAGGGGATGTGGTGAGGGGGTGTTCCCCCAGGCTGAGGGCGGTGGCTATGGGAAGATGATGTCACCCCAGATCTCAAGACCTGCTCCCTCTTTAGGAAGGATCCTCCCCTTGCAGCTGTGACCACTGCTGTTCAGGAACTGCTGCGTCTGGCTCAGGCTTACCCAGCAGGGCCCCCCACCCTGGACCCTGTCAATGATCTGCAGCTCAAGGATGTCTCAGTGGTAGAGGGTGGGCTCCGGGCACGGAAGCTGGAGGAGCTGATCCGGGGGGCTCAGTGTGTGCACAGCCCCCGTTTCCCTGCCCAGGTAGGCCTCTGGATGCCAGCTCCCAAGCTGGGAAGAGGCTTTTCCTCCCTGGTCCCATGTGGACTGACTGCCCCCCCTCAGCCCTGAACTCAGTGCACCTGCTGAGGGACGAGAGGCTGAGGGGTGCCTGCTGTGACTCTGCAGTACCTGAAGCTGCGGGAGCGCATGCAGATACAGAAGGAGATGGAGCGGCTACGCTTCCTGCTGTCAGACCAGTCGCTGCTGCTGCTCCCCGAGTACCACCAGCGAGTAGAGGTGGGAGGGGCAGGACTGGGGCTGGGGCCTAGCGTGGGAGAGGACAGCAGCCTCCCCCACACTCACGCTCCTCCTTGCAGGTGCTCCGAACCCTGGGTTACGTGGATGAGGCGGGCACTGTGAAGCTGGCGGGGCGGGTGGCCTGTGCCATGAGCAGCCATGAATTGCTCCTCACTGAGCTCATGTTCGACAATGCCCTGAGCGCTCTGCGGCCGGAGGAGATTGCAGCCCTGCTCTCTGGCTTGGTCTGCCAGAGCCCTGGGGACCCTGGGGATCAGCTCCCTAGTACCCTCAAGCAGGTAGGGGTACCAGCCGTCTCTCCCTTTCCCAGCCCCACCCCCACCCCAGGCATTCCCCTAGTAACTCTCTCCAATCCTGTGAGTACCCCTAAAGGGGGTCCTTGATCTTGGCCTCCTCAGCCCTGGAGCAGGAAGGCAGGCCTTAACCTCTTTTCCCCACTGCAGGGAGTGGAACGTGTCCGGTCTGTAGCCAAGCGGATCGGTGAAGTCCAGGTGGCCTGTGGCCTAAATCAGACCGTGGAGGAATTTGTGGGGGAGCTGAATTTTGGACTGGTCGAGGTTGTGTATGAGTGGGCCCGGGGTATGGTGAGTACCTGGGCTGTGGGGTTTTGCAGATGGCTGGACGGGGAAAGGCTGCCCAGGCCTGACACATCCAGTCTCCATCCTGCTCTCCCCACAGCCCTTCTCCGAGTTGGCAGGGCTCTCTGGGACCCCCGAGGGCCTGGTGGTCCGCTGTATCCAGCGCCTGGCTGAGATGTGTCGCTCACTGCGGGGGGCAGCCCGCCTGGTAGGGGAGCCTGTGCTAGGCGCTAAGATGGAGACAGCAGCCACACTGCTTCGGCGGGACATCGTCTTTGCAGCCAGCCTCTATACCCAATGAATGACTCCTTGTAAAAATGTAATAAAACAGCAAACCACCAGGTGTGCGTGAGGTGTTGGGCAGGGAGCGCTCAGCTCAGCAGACGCAGGAGGGAGAGCCACTTAGAAATATACCTTTATTATCTGTGCACACGGAGACAGGCCAGCCTCTCTCAAGCATTAGTCCTTCGGCGAAGGTGTCTTGGGGGGCGATGGGAGGTCCTGGGTCATGGCTTCCACGTACCACGTGGGCAAGAAGGCATAGGGTGCATCTTGGTGTACAGACACGGTGACTGCGCCACCAGGCTCCCAGGAGAAGAGGTGGACGAGCCTGGGGGCAGATGGAAGCATGGGTGGGGGGCTGGAGGCTGGGCCCCTGGGCCCCAGAGGAGATGGACAGAGCTGATTGCTCACCTGGGGTCGTCCTGGATGACTGTGCTCTGGGCAAAGCCAAGGAAGGCGGCACAGAAGTTCATGCACACAGAGGGGTTCCAGCCGTCACGGTCGTTCTGGAGTGGGCAGAAGAGAAAGCATAAGATTGGCAGTGAGAGTGGGAAGAAGGGGAAGGTAGACTTCAGCCCTGGACGACGGACCCGTGGTCCTGATGCCAGGGGGATACAGGTTGGAGCCGTGATGCCATGGCCTTACCCTGACATACTCAAACATCTCCATAGTAGGGAAGGTCTTGAGGGAACAGACGACACCCTCTGGGTTCCGGAAGCCGGCGACAACATTGGGGACCCCTGGGAGGAACGACTGAGCCCACCATTTCAGAAGCTTGTGTCTGCCAGGAAAGGCAAGGGGTCAGTGACACCCCTCTTCCATTCTGCCACCACCTCCAGCCTCATCCTCCCCAAGTTCCTTTCCCAACTCTCAGTTTGAGGCAGCCCCTGTCTTGAACCTGTAGAAGCTCCTCCACTGGCCAAGGCTATGCATCTCCTTGGAGGTCTTGAGCTCCACATAGCAGGCTGGGGGCTGTGTGGATGAGGCCTGGGGGTCCATGCAGTCCACCTCCCCGGAGAAGAGCAGAGGGTGGTTTCCCAGACGGCTGCGTAGCACAGAGCAGAAGGCCACGTTGGTGTTAACCTCCCCAGAGGGGTCTGGGGATCCTCCAGGTTTGTCTGCAGGAGAAGAGAAGCAGCAGCAGGGGTGACAGCTCTCAGCTTCCGGGGGAGGGGAACGGGGCCAAAGAACAGGGGCAGCTCTCACCTGCACACATGTACTGCTCAAACTTGTACCCCATGTACATGAGCTCCCGGAGGAGGGGTGGCCGAGCAAGCCGCTGAGCGCGAGCAGCTGGCGTCTCCACCTCACTCAGGTACAGCGTCCCCTGGAACCGGGAAGCTGCTAGCTGCCAGCCTTCTTGCCGCTCATATGGTGTCGTCAGCAGTTTTGTCAGGTGACCCCGCCACGTCACTATAGCCCCTGCTAGCCAGCCTGGACCCCTGAAAAGGAGGAGTTAGGGACTGGTGTTGTGGTATAGCCAGTTAGGCCACTGCTTATGATGTCAGCATCCCACAAGGATGCCAGTACAGATCCAGACTGCTGCACTTCCAATCCAACTCTGCTAATGCACCTGGGAAAGCAGCAGAGGATGGCCCAAGTACTTGGCTCCCTGCCAGCCATGTGGGAGACCCCGCTGGAGTTTTGGGCTTCAACCTGGCCTAGCCCCAGCTGTTAAAAAAAAGATTTAGCTGGCCCTGTGGTATAGTAGGTTAAGCCTCTGCCTGTGGTACCGGAATCTCAATATGGCCGCGGGTTCAAGTCCCCGCTACTACTCTTCAGATCCAGCTCCCTGCTAATGGGCAGCAGAAGATGGCCCAAGCGCTTGGGCCCCTGCACCCATGTGGGAGACCCGGTGGAACCCTCTGGCTCCTGGCTTCAGATGAGTCTGTTGCTGCCATTTGGGGAGCGAACCAGGGGACGGAAGACCTCTGTGTCTTGCCTTCTCTCTCTAACTCTGCCTCTCAAATAAATAAATCTCAAAAAAAAAAAAAAAAACCACCAGAAACCAGAGATTTACTTACTTATTTGAAAGGCAGAGTTAAGAGAGAGAGGGAGAGACAGGTTTTTTACGTGCTGGTTCACTCCCCAAATGGCCCCAATGGCCAGGGGCTGAAGCCAGGATCCTGGAACCCCCTCGGGGTCTCTCACATGGTTGCAGGGGCCCAAGCACTTGGGCCACCCTCTGCCGTCCAACCAGGGGCATTAGCAGGGAGCTGAGCTGGAAGTTGAGATGCCAGGTTTCGAGCCAGTGCCCACATGAGATGTTGGCATTGCAGGCAGTGGCTTTATTAGCTAAGCCACAATGCCGGACCCAGTAAATAATATTTTTTTAAAGGCATTAGAGGCTGAAGGTCTGACACACGCATTCGCTCAGATGGCTCTTCTAAGTTCCTTCTGAGCACTGATTCTCTCTCCAGCTTGGGCTCTCCTAATTTTAGAGGGAGGTGCAGGTCTCCATCTGTGTGTTATGCTTCGCTCACCCCTCCAGCTTGCCTCTGTGTTCCAGGAGCCAGCGTAGCAAGTGGTCCAGTCCCTCGTGGATCTCCTCATCCCGAGGCTGGTATCGATCAGGGTATCCGTCTCTGAGGTCAAAGTCAGGGCCTGGACCATTGGTGGGCGGGGGGCTGTAGTAGCGCAGTGCGCGGGCATCTCCGTGATACTGGCGTTGTGCATCCAGGGAGAAGCAGCCCAGCTGGGAAGGGCGCCGGTAGAAAGGGAAGGGCCCAGAGTAGAGGGTGGGGTCTGTGGGCAGTGACAGCGCTGGGCTGGGGAATTTGTTCCGAGGATCAGCTACTTCTGTCTTCTCGGCTCCTCTCTTGGTCCCTCTCCGCTCCATGGAGTTCTGGGGTGGGAGGACAAGTTTCCATTTTACAGAGGAGGCCTGGAGAAGGGTGACTCTGGGTCAGGACCAAGGGAGCCACCTCATCTCCAGGTTGTGGCCGTAAAACATGCAAACCCAGCCCTTCAAACACAACCACGGCCAAAAGCTCTTCCTGCCTCCAACCTTGCCGTGTACCCGCCATCCCCCACATCTCACGAACGCAGCGAGGTTAGGAAGCAAATCTGGCCTCTGATCAAAGATCCGGTTACCTCAAAGCCCTCCAAACTTGATTTCTACCTCCGCCGAACTATGACGTCAGGGCAGGCATATCAGAAAGCGGAAAGGGACTGAAAGGTGGGATCCTGCTTGCGATGATGCAATCATTCAGCGACAGTGGCGGGCAAACCCCTCAGGGGCCGGGGAGTGGGTAAGCTTTGCCCGGAGAGGTTGAGTCCGACGTGGCCACCGGCGCCTCTCTGCTTTGCCTTCGGAGTACCGGGCCGTGAGTGCTCTCTGTGGGAGCCAATCAGCGGCAAGCATGGGGCCTTGACCCAGAGGCGGTGGCGCTGGTATCCGCACTGGCACCGCCCCTCCCAGCACAGGCCCGAGAGAAGGTAAGTGGAGGCCTCTTTCGTCATCACATCGCGGTACTTAACACTGGGTCACCTGGTCTCCAAGGAGCGTCACCCAGGGATGTGACGTCACTACTCTGCGACGGAAGACCCTATCTTCAAGTTCTCGTCCCTCAGCCCCCTCCCTTCTTCGGGACCGTAGAATCCCGGGCTATGAGCCTGAAGAGGCATCGCTTGATCCCGGAGAGCTTCGGCTTGAAGAGGCGGCGGGAGCGAGGGCCTGTAGAAGCGGATCCTCTGAGGGGCGAGTCAGGTAACCATGGCAGCCCCGGGGCGGGGCTGAAGACCCCAGCGGGCGGGAACTCGCATAGGTGAGCAGGTGTGTGGGAAGAAGCGCGCGGCCGCAGTGGCCCCCCGCGCCCTTGCTCCGGTTCCCTGTCAGTGACCGGCTGTCTCCGCGCAGGGTCGGCGCGCGAGGCCGTGGCCGAGCTGGTGCAGCTGTTTCCGCGAGGCCTGTTCGAGGATGCTCTCCCGCCCATCGTGCTGAGGAGCCAAGTGTACAGCCTCCTGCCCGACCGGACGGTGGCCGACCGGCAGCTGGTGAGGGGCGTCAGCGCGACCTCCGGAGCTCCTTTCCCTGCCTCGTGCGCGATCGCCAAGTTCCCCAGTTCGCCGGCCGTCCAAGCCGTTCAGACATTGAGCAAGCATTACGCCCTTCGGGGCGGGCGCTGTGCCAGACACTGAGGTGCCACAGAGACTGGCGCAAACCCTGTGCAGAGACCCTCGGACGGTGGAGGGCGTGCCAAACCAAGGCGGTGGAAGAGCGAGGCTTTGGGGGAAACAGGAGTCGCAAGGGCATGGTTCGAGCGCACAGCGCGCTGGGGATGCTGGGGAAGCGGGCCGATTAGATCGTGGGGAGGCCTGGGACATCAATGCCGTGGCGGGCTGGCAGGAGAGGGAGCTGGAGTGTGAGGCCGATGGCACGGCCTAGACTGGTGAAGGCCCGAGGTAGGGCAGTGTAGGAAGAGGGAGGAGTCCCTTTTCCTTCCCAGGACAAGCCTCTCAGGAAACTCCTTTTTTCCAGATGACAGACCAACCAAGTGGTAGGTTTAGTGGGCAGTAGGAACACATCGAGTTCTTGAGGGCACGTGGTGTACTGAATTTTGTTCAAGTTCATTCGGAGGTGTGTAGGGAGCATCCGAAGGCAAAATGTAGTAGGCAGTTGGATCTGAAGTTTGGAGAGAATTCTGAGTCAGTGAAAAAGAATTAAAAGCTGCGGGTTTGTGAGTAGAGGTTCATTGTTTGGATGTAGGTGAGATCAGTAGGAAGAGTGAATCAAGGAATGATTTTTGAACCTCTTCACACACTTTAAATATTTAGTTATTTGAAGGTCAGAGTTACTGAGAGACAGGGAGAGAGACCATCCAGCCACTGGTGACCTAGAAGAAGCTCCTGGCTTTGGCCTGGCCCAGCCCTGGCCTTTCCAGGTCTCCCATGTGGGTGGCAGGGGTCCAAACACTTGTCCATCTTTTGCTTTTCCCAGGCTGTTAGCAGGGAGCTAAATGGATCAGAAATGGAGTCCGGGACACAAACTGGCACCCATATGGGATACTGGCATTGCAGATGGCAGCTTTACTTGCTGTGCCATAGTGCTGGCCCCCTACTAACTTCATTTGTTTATTTTTAAAGGTTTATTTATTTATTTGACAGAGTTATAGACAGTGAGAGACAGGTCTTCCATCCGATGGTTCACCCCACAAATGGCTGCAACAGCCAGAACTATGCCGATCCGAAGCCAAGAGCCAGGTGCTTCTCTCTGATCTCCCATGCGGGTGCAGGGGCCCAAGCATCTGGGCCATCCTCCACTGCTTTCCAGCGCCACAACAGAGAGCTGGACTGGAAGAAGAGCAACTGGGACTAGAACCAGCGCCCATATGGGATGCTGGCACCACAGGCAGAGGATTAACCTAGTGTGCCACGGTGCTGTCCCCAAAGATTTATTTATTTATTTGAAAGGCAGAGTTACAGAGAGGCAGAGACAGGGGTGGGGGAGGTCTTCCATCTGCTGATTCACTCCCCAGATGGCCGCAAGGACCAGAGCTGTGTGGATCCAAAGCCAGGAGCCAGGAACTTCGTCTGGGTCTCCCACAGGTGCAGGGGCCCAAGGACTAGGCCATCTTCTGCTCTCCCAGGCTACAACAGATAGCTGGATCAGAAGTAGAGCAACCAGGATTTGAACCGGCAGCCATATGGGGTGTGGCACTGCAAGTGGCAGCTTTACCTGTTATGCCACAGTGCTGTCCCCTTTATTTATTTATTTAAAGATGTATTTATTTATTTGAAAGGTAGAAATAGAGAGAGCAAGAGAGAGAGGGTGTTTTTTTTTTTATATTTTTTAAGATTTATTTGAGAGGCAGTTACAGACATAGAGAGGGAGAGACAGAGAGAAAGATCCTCCATCCACTGGTTCACTTCTCAGATGGCCTCAATGGCTGGAGTTGAATCTATCTAAAGCCAGGAGCCAGGAGTTTCTTCTGCGTCTCCGATGTGGGTGCAGGGGCCCAAGCACTTAGGCCATCTTCCACTGCTTTCCATAAACAGACAGAGGCTTAACCTAGTATGCCACAGTGCTGGCCCTGAGAGAGAGAGAGAGAGATCTTCTATCAGAATTCCACCTGGATCTCCCATGTATGTGTAGGTGCCCAAAGACTTGGGCCATCTTCTTCTGCTTTCCCAGACGCATTAGCAAGGAGCTAGATTGGAAGTAGAGCAGCTGGACTTGAACTGGCACTCATGTGGGATGCTGACATCACAGATGATGGCTTAACCTGCAGTGCCACAGTGCTGGCCCCTTTTTTACAAACTTTAGATGGTGATGAAAATTATGACTATCTCCAGAAAAATGCACATATGCCACATACACACAAGGTAGATGTACAATTTATGTGTGTCTCTGTTAGGTATGTGTCACTGTCACAGATTCTCTGAGGTCTAAGGCTAAGGACCCCAGGAGTAGAGTGAAAGATAATAGAGCCAAATTCAGAATTCTTGTAGACAGCAACATTTAAGGCAGTGTGCTATATGGTCTTAGTTCTGCCTGTGTCTAAATTATCTGGGCTGCTTATTCAAAATATGTAGGTTCCTGGAACTCAGCTAAGGTTAATGAGTCAAGGTCTTTTGGGATGGGATGTGGAAATCTACATTTTTAAACTACTGCCTCAAGTGAGTTTTGCTGAGACCCACTGATATGAGAGGAAGGCAGAATAGGAGGAATCAGTGAGAGGCTGAGAAGGAATTGCCTGTGTTAAGAGGAAACCAGGAAGAAGCCTATTGGGAAAGTAAAGAGATTTTTCAACAAAGTGGGAATAGTTGATAGTGTTAGCATCTGTAATTCAAGGCAGTGTTCTGTAAAGAGGCCAGGTAAAAGAAAAACTGAAATCTGTGCATTGGCGTCAGCATGTAGAGGGTTAATGGTGATCTGTTATGAAAAGAGGGAAGAAGAGGAAGACGTACTGGCTCCAGTCTCGCCAGAGGAAGCATCAGAGGGAACCACTCCTTCAAGAGTATTTGTGGCTTTTAATATACGGATGTTAGTTTATATTATTAAAATTATGCACAATTATTTGTTTGAAAGAGTTACGGAGAAGGATAGGGGGGGGGGGGGGGGGAGGTGGATCTTCCATCTACTGGTTCACAAATGGCCACAATGATCAAGGCTGTGCCAGGCCGAAGCCAGGAGCCAGGAGCTTTATCCAGGTCTCCCATGTGTCTGGAGGAGTCCAAGAACTTGGGCTATTCTTCCACTGCTTTCCCAGGCACATTAACAGGGGGCTGGATGGGAAGTGGACCAGCCAGGACTTGAACCACCACACCACAGTGTGGGCCGTGCACACACAGTTTAAAGATTGCTTATAAAGCATTTTGCTACCACCTGTAAAACTATAGAACTATAGTTCTATAGAATATGGTCAAAATCCCACATTTATCCCTCTGATTAAAATGGCCTGGAGCCGGCACTGTGGCATAGTGGATAAAGCCACTGCCTGCAGTGCCAGCATCCAATATGGGTGCCAGTTCAAGTCCCAGCTGCTCCACTTCCTATACAGCTCTCTGCTATGGCCTGGGAAGATGGCCCAAGTCTTGGGCCCCTGCACACATGTGGGAGACCTGAAAGTAGCTCCAGGCTCCTGGCTTCAGATCGGCTCAGCTCCAGCCATTTTGGTCATCTAGGGAGTGGACTAGCAGATGGAAGACCTCTCTGTCTCTGCCTTTCAAATAAATAAATAAATATTTTAAAATAAAATGGCCTATATGTTTTTAGAGGTGACTGCTACCCCAACTGCTATGATAATTGTTCCCTTGGTTTTTCTATCACCTATGTATACATTCATAAACAACAGAACTTAATTTCACCCGTTTTTGAACTTCTAAATGGAATCATGCTGTATGCCTTAAAGTCTGTTCATGCTGCTGCAACAAAATAGCTGAGACTGGGTAATTTGTAAAAAGGATTTAGTTCTTATAGTTCTAGAGATGAGAAGTCCAGGATCCCAGCGCTGGCAGATTCAGGGACTGGTGAGAACTGGGCTGCCTGCTTCTGAGCTTTGTTGCTTTGTGCTCACATGGCAGAAGCGATGTTTCCATCAGCCAGGAAGCTCTCGGGAGCCTCTTTTATAAGGACAGGAATGCCATTCGTGGGAGCAGAGCCCTCTTGGCCTGATGGCTTTTTAATGGCTGCACCTCTTAATACCATCACGTTGGGGTTTACATTCTGACATGAATTTTGGAAGCATGTAACTTTTTTTTTTTTTTTGACAGGCATAGTGGACAGTGAGAGAGAGACAGAGAGAAAGGTCTTCCTTTTTTTCCGTGGTTCACCCCCTAATGGCCGCTGCAGCCGGCGCACCACGCTGATCCGAAGCCAGGAGCCAGGTGCTTTTCCTGGTCTCCCATGTGGGTGCAGGGCCCAAGGACTTGGGCCATCCTCCATTGCACTCCCGGGCCACAGCAGAGAGCTGGACAGGAAGAGGGGCAACTGGGACAGAATCCGGCGCCCCGACCGGGACTAGAACCTGGTGTGCCGGCGTCGCAGGTGGAGGATTAACCTATTGAGCCACGGCACCGGCCGCGTGTAACTGTTTTGATTTCATAGGTTCACAGAGAGCAGTTTGTCTCAGGGTGAAACACATCTTTGAGTCTCACCCGTATCTGATTTAGGTAGTATTTAGATGAGACTCAGTCTGTAATACTTTGAATTTGTGCAAGTTAAGACTCTTGGGGTTATTGGGATGGCATGAATACATTTTGCATGTGAGAAAGGTGTAAATTTTTGAGGGCCAGGTGTGGAATGCTGTGGTTTGAATGTAGATGCTCTTGTAAAATTCATATGTTGGAACCTCCAATGCCCAGTGTGATAGTATTAAGAGGTGGGTTTTTGCATGGGAGACCAGGAGAAGCACCTGGCTCCTGGCTTCGGATCAGCGTGGTGCGCCGGCTGCAGCACGCTGGCTGCGGCGGCCATTGGAGGGTGAACCAACGGCAAAAGGAAGACCTTTCTCTGTCTCTCTCTCTCTCACTATCTACTCTGCCTGTCAAAAAAAAAAAAAAAAAAAGTGGGTTTTTGGGGAAGTGATCAAATCATGAGGTCTCTGCCCTTGTGAATGGAGTTAATGCCCTTATAAAGAGGCTCCCAAGAGCTAGCTACCTGGCCTTTCCATCCGCTCTGCCCTGTGGGACTCAGTGTTTGTCGCCTCCAGAGGATGCAATGACAAGCTATCGTCCTGGAAGCACAAACCTTACCTTCACTAGAAATTGAACTTGCTCTGCCCTAGACTCTCCAGAATGAGAGAAATGAATTTCTGTTCTTTCCTCGCTTCAGGTATTTTGTTATAGCTGCAGGAATGGACTCAGATGCTGTGTTTATAGCTTGTTGAGATTCTTCCAAGTTGTACACAGCTGAAGTTGATTCATCTCATAGATCTCTATTATAGGAATATATTCCAATTTGTCCATTCTAACAAAAGAATTTGTATTTTTCTAAAAATTGATAAATTTCATCTAAATTTTCAAATTTATTGACAAAGTTTGTAACCTCATTTTAATCTTTGTAAGATCTGTAGTGATGACCTGTTTTTTATTCTTTACATTGATTATCTGTGTTTTTTCTTGTCACTACCAGCTTTTTTGGTGTCACCAGTGGTTTATCAAGTTTAATGCTTTTTCAGTCAGCCTTTGACTTTGTTGCTTTCTATTTGTGTTGTCTTTTCCCCTCTTTTTTCTGTTAATTTTCATCCTCTCTTTTCTACTAAGGCACACAATGCTGTAGTTTTCCTTCGAGTATATTTGTGTGTGTGTATATATATAAATATATATATAAATATACACACACATATATTCCACAAGTTTTCATTTGTATTTTCATTATCAGTTCGTTCAAAATTCTTCTTGGCTCTTTTGTGATCTTTTCCTTTGACACTTTAGGTCAGTTAGATGTATGTTAGGGGCCAGTGTTGTGATGCAGACGGTTAATCTGCTGCTTACAGTGTCGGCATCCCATGTCAGAGTGCAGATTCAAGTTGTGGCTGCCCTGCCTCTGATCCAGCCTCCTGCTAATGTGCCTGGGAAGGCAGCAGAAGATGGCCAAAGAGCTTGGGCCCCTGCCACCCATGTGGGAGACCAGGATGGAGTTTCATGCTCCTGGCTTCAGCTGGCCCAGACCTGGCTATGGTAGCCATTTGGGGAGTTAACCTGTAGATGGAAGATCTCTCTGTTGCTCTGCCTTTTGAATTTATGAATGAATGAATGAATGAATATATAAATAAAATAAATGTATGTCATAATTTTCAAACATTTTTGTATTACTATGTTATTGATTTGTATGTAAATGGCATTGTGGCCAGAGAACATGCACAATATGACTTAAGTCATTTGGAATTTATTGAGACTTGCTTTTCTGTGTGCTATGTGGCCAGTTTAAGTGTTTTTGGTTTATTTCCGAATAATGTGTATTATCTAGTTACTAGCTTCTTTGTGCCTGAAGTTACTGAAATATTCTGTTTCCTCACTGATTAGTTTGTTTCTGTGTTCTATGAACTTATGAGAGTTGGGTTAATATACTTCTGTGATTGTGGTTTTGTTGTCTCTCCAAATATTTCTCCTACTTTATTATCTGTTTTTTCTTTCCTTCTGGGGCTCAAACATACATTGGACCTTCTCTCTACCCTATAAATCTCTTAAACTCTTTCCTATATTTTAAATATTTTTGGCTTTCCTTACTATAGTCTGATTAGATTTTTAATCTCTCTTCGAGACCGATAATCTGTAGGAGATAGTCTGTGCCTTAACAATCTTTTGAAGTCTTAATTTTATTTACTTTATTTTTCAGCTCTAGAATTCTAGTTAGGTGTTTTTCAAACTTGCTATGTCATTTTTTTTGTAATTTCTTGCTGAGGTTTTCCATCTTTGTTTTTACTTACTTCAGCACTGTGAGCATTTTTAAAAAATTATCTTTTTGGGAACTGGCACTGTGGTATAGCAGGTTAAACCACAGCCTGTAGTGCCAGCATCCCATATGGGTGCCAGTTCAAGTCCCGGCTGCTCCACTTTCCACCCAGCTCCCTGCTGGTATGCCTGGGAAAGCAGCAAGGATGGTCCAGATCCCTGGGCTCCTGTAACCAGGTGGGAGATCTGGAGGAGGCTCCTGGCTTTGGCTTGGCCCAGCCCCAGTGACTGTGGCCATTTGGGGAGTGAACCAGCAGATGGAAGATCTCTCTCTTTGTCTTTCATTCTATCCCTGTGTAGCTCTGACTTTCAAATAGATAAATAAATATATTTTGAAAAAGTTGTCTTTTTTGATAATTCCACTATTGCGTGTCTTTTTGGGTCTATTCTATTGCCTATTTCTTTTGACTTGTGTTTCCCAGGCCCAGTTTCTGAATATGTGCTGGGCAGAATTGCCTAGATTAGCAGGTGTCCTCCTGTCCCAGTTATCTTTTCCATTCTTGTCATCACCTAGACATTGTATTATTCTAATTCCATTACCCTGTGAGTACTATAATGCTTAAGCAATTTAAAAACAATCTTTTATCCAGCATTTTAGTTAATTTTCAATGAATGGGTCAGTTTTTGCTGTATTATTGCAAAAAAAAAAAAAGGTCTTGGTTTATTTGTTTTAAACATTTGATCCCATGATCCTTCCTACTTCCACCTACCCAAATATAAACTCTTGATTCCTTGGAGGCCATCTCTCTCTCTCTCTCTCTCTCTCTCTCTCTCTCTTTTTTTTTTTTTTTTTGACAGGCAGTGTGGACAGTGAGAGAGAGACAGAAAGGTCTCCCTTTTCCGTTGGTTCACCCTCCAATGGCCGCTGCAGCCGGCACACCACGCTGATTTGAAGCCAGGAGCCGGGTACTTCCTCCCAGTCTCCCATGCAGGTGCAGGGCCCAAGGACTTGGGCCATCCTCCACTGCACTCCCGGGCCACAGCAGAGAGCTGGATTGGAAGAGGAGCAACCGGGACAGAATCCGGCGCCCCAACCGGGACTAGAACCCGGTGTGCTGGTGCCGCAGGTGGAGGATTAGCCTAGTGAGTTGTGGCGCTGGCCGGAGGCTATATCTTAATTTGTTTTATCTCAGTGCCTGGCATAGGACTGGTCTCAGAAAGTACATATTGATTGTTTGACAGACAACTGAGGCAGCTAGATGGGGGGGTGGGGGGTAACCAGGTGGAAGAAGCTATTTGGTTGACTCCTGAGTATCTCCCACCCAGTAAATTCCCCGCATACTGACAAAATCTGCCTGCCCAAAGCGCTCAGAGCATAGCAGGGCATCTTAGCCTGACCCTCTTCTTTTTGCTCCCATCTCTGTGGAGACAGAAGGAGCTTCAAGAGCAGGGGGAGATCAGGATCATCCAGCTGGGCTTTGACTTGGATGCCCATGGGATTGTCTTCACTGAGGACTACAAGACCAGAGTACGTGTGACTGCGTGTGGGTGTCGAGGGCGGTGGGGGCCTGGGAGTGGGGGAGAGGGCAGGGAAAGGGGAAACGAATAAAAACTAAAGAGACCATTTCCCTAGCCCACATCCTGTGGAAAGGGCGCAGGGCTGTGGTGAGAGAGTGAAGTGGGGGCAGGGGAGCAGGAATCTGAGCAAGAGGGGAGATTGGAAGAGGAACGCCCTCCTGGGGATGTTGGGTCGGTGGAGAGTGAAGGTGGGTGCAGACCCTGTCTCTTCTCTGGTTCCAGGTCCTCAAGGCCTGCGAAGGCCGACCGTATGCTGGGGCAGTGCAGAAGTTTCTGACTTCAGTGCTTCCATCCCGTGGGGACCTTAGTTTCCAGCAGGAGCAAATGACACAGACCTTTGGCTTCAGGGACCCAGAGATCACGTGAGACTCAGGGGACCAACTGAGTCAGGCATCTGGCACCCCAGCCTTGCCCTTTCCTTTCTGGTGAACCTGCCAAGAAAAGTCCGGCTCTTGTTTTGAATAACATGACCTAAGCTTGTGCTCCTCCCCACAAGAGCAGAGGCCTGTCTTGCCTGGGGCTTTGGAAACAGCCCCGGACTGGAATTCGGGAGAGCTGGGCAACTTCCCAAATGCACTTGGAGCCTGGCAGGAACCATAAATGCCTGATGGTTGTGGTTTATGCTCGGACTGAGAGGATAGAGAATGGTATGAGCTGGGGTTCCCTTAAATATCATTGACATTCAAAGCAAAAACAACCACCACCAGACAAGGGCTAAACACAAATATAATTTTGAGGGGCTGTCTCTGGCCCTGGTCTCCTACTTTGTAACCCATGGCCTATGTGAAAGCATCTTTAACGTTTTGTCTCATGTGGAGAAACAGAGACTTGCAGTAAGACGAGGAGGGGTGGGCCTTTGGTACAGAGATTAAGATGCTGCCTGGGACACGTGCATCCCTTATTGGCGGGCTGAGATTCGAGCCCTGGCTCTCCTGATTCCAGCGTCTTCCTGGTGCCCACTCTAGGAGGCAGCAGGGGATGGCGCAGGGAGTTAGATTTCTGCCGCCCACATGGGAGAACAGGATTGAATATGGGCTCTGGCTTCAGCCTGACCCCGCTCCAACTGTTGTGGGCATTTAGGGGAGTGAACCAGCAGAAACCAATCCAAGGACGACCTTTCTCTACCTGTTTCTGTCTGTCAAATAGATTAATTAAAAAAAAAAAAAGAGAGAGAGAGATGTGGCAGGAGATATGGTGAGGCATACACAGGCAGCGGTGGGCACAGAGAAGATCTTTATTTTCTGTTGGGGATAGGCCTGGATGTGCAGTAGGGCATGTGATCACGGGGCTTCTAGAATCAGCAGCTGTTTCAATGAATGAGTAATAGTTACAGGAAAAGAGAGAGTGGGGGGAGGGAGGCCCGAGTAGAGGGAATGGAGCGAGCAATCCGCAGTGTGCTGTGAGCAGAGGGCTGCCCCAGGTCGGGGTTTTGTCCTTCCGTCCTTGATGGTTACCCATGTGCCCCAGTGCTCGTGGTTTGGGAGGGTGGATGGTCCTCAGAGCCCAGGCCTCACCTCTCCTGGCTTCCCCCAGGCATCTGGTGAACGCTGGAGTCCTCACTGTCCGCGATGCTGGGAGCTGGTGGCTGGCTGTGCCTGGAGCTGGGAGATTCATCAAGTACTTTGTTAAAGGTATCCTGTCTGTAGCTCGAGCCTTTGGTCCCTCAAGAACACATATTGGTAGCTCCTCAGGCCTCTAGACCTCACTCGTTTCCACATCTGCAGGACGCCAGGCTGTCCTTGGCATGATCCGGAAAACCAAGTACCGGGAGCTGCTCCTGTCGGAGCTCCTGGGCCGGCGGGCGCCTGCTGCCGTGCGGCTTGGCCTTGCCTACCACGTGCATGACCTCATCGGGGCCCAGCTGGTGGACTGGTAAGTTTTGCGCCCTAGCCTCTGGCAGATGACAGAGCAAAGCTGGGTTTCCCCTGGCTCATGACTTGTGAAGCCCAGTTCTTTCCTTCTCTGGAGCCCGGGAGGACCTGTGACAAGTTCTGAGTTCTCACACCTTGAGCCTACGCGACTGACTCCAGCCTTGTCTTTCTCCTGCTTAGTGTTGCCACTACCTCTGGAACTCTCCTCCACCTGCCAGACACGTGAGGATCTGCTCGTCATTGCGCACCTCCTCAGAATGGGGCAACGGTGGCCTGGGCGTGCTGCCCAAGGGTGACTGAGTCAGGATTACCTTGGAAAACTTGGGAGCCAGGATGAGTGATGGGCTCTCTTATTGGTTTAAAGGGTCAGGTGGGACTGCTGCTGTTTGCTTGGGCGCCAACCCAGCAGGGCAATTTGGGTAATACTTCTTTGCCCTTCCATGAAAGTGGAGGCAGAGCCGTGCCGAGGCTGTGGCTGCTGCCTAGCATGTAGAAGGTGCTGTTGTTACCTTGTCTGGGGACAGGAAGGTGGGCTTGCCGGGAGGCTGGGGCAGGGCAGGGTTCTCTTCCCTCTTTGTTGAGTTGAAAGAGCCAAATAAAGTACTTTTGCCTGTGATGTTTTCTGGGTTGTCCTTTATTGGGGTGCCTTGTTTGGGGATAGAGGTAAAACCCAGTAAAGCCTGAACTTTGCTTCACTGTCAGAGAGGAAAAGAGTTGATGTTTATGTTTAGATCAGTTTTCCCTTTGGGGTGGTAAGGAAGCACCTGACCTAAATCTAGTCTCTGTTAGGGCCTATAGAAAGCAAAGCCTGGTGTGGTTCAGTCATGTTGGAGTGCCAGTAAGAGGCAAATGAAAAGCTGATCCCTGGGGCTGGCATTATGGTATAGCAGGTTAAACCTCCACCAGTGGCACCAGCATCCCATATGAGTGCCAGTTAGAGTCCCGGCTGCTCCACTTCCGATCCAGCTCCCTAATAATGCACCTGGGAATACAGTGGACTACAGCCTAAGTGCTTGGGCCCCTGCCACCCACATCGGGGACCCAGAAGAAGCTTCTGGCTCCTGGCTTCTGACTGGCTCAGCTTCTGCCACTGCTGCCGTTTGGGGAGTGACCAGTGGATGGAAGACTTCTCTCTGTCTCTCCCTCTCTCTCTAACTCTGCCTTTCAAATAAATAAATATTTTTTAAAAAATACTTTATTGGGGCCGTTGCCATGGCACAGTGGGTTGGTCCTCTGCCTGTGTCGCCGGCATCCCTTATGGGTGCTGGTTCTGGTCCTGGCTGCCCCTCTTCCAGTCCAGCTCTCTGCTATGGCCTGGGAAAGCAGTGGAGGATGGTCCAAGTGCTTGGGCCCCTGCACCCATATGGGAGACCAGAAGGAAGCACCTGGCTCCTGGCTTCAGATAGGTGCAATTCCGGCCATTGGACCATCTGGGGAGTGAACCAGCGGATGGAAGACCTCTCTCTCTCTCTGCCTCTGTCTGTGACTCTACCTCCAAATAAATGAGTAAAATATTAAAAAATACTTTATTTATTTATTTGAGTTAGAGTTATACAGAGAGAGAAGGAGAGTCAGAGAAAGAGAGCTCTTCCATCCGCTGGGTCTCCCATGCGGGTGCGGGGGCTCAAAGACTTGGCCATCTTCCACTGCTTTCCCAGGCCACAGAAGAGAGCTGGATTGGAAGTGGAGCAGCCAGGACTTGAACCTGCGCCCATATGGGATGCTAGCACTGCAGGCAGTGGCTTTACTTGCTACGCCACAGCACTGGCCCCAAAGTAAATCTTAAAAAGAAAAAAGAGCCCATCCTTGTTTCGTTAGAACTTTGAATCCCTGGTGTGATGGCGTGCGTTGTGGTCTATCTGGTTAAGCTGCCTGCATCATATACCTGCCTATGTTTGAGTCCCACCTCCTCTTCTGATCCAGCTTCCTTCTAGTGATGGCTTATGTACTTGGGTCCCTGCTCCCCAGGTAGGAGACCCGGGTGGAGTTCTTAGATCCTGGCTTTGGCCTGGCACAGTCCTGGCTGTTTTGAGCATTTAGGGTGTAAACTAGCAGATGGAGATTCTCTCTGTCCTTCTCAAATAGATTAAAATAGATAAAACTTTAAAAAAAATCCTGTGTGTCCAGGCCACGTTGGACCTTCATACGCCCATGTTTGCACGAGCACATGTGCACAGGTACATGCACACAGATGCACTTGGTTACAGGGAAGCACCCAGGCTCTGGGATGAGCAGGGTTAACAGGAAGGACAGGATCCATCTCGGCCAAGATTCTCTCAGATTCCCCCAGAATCCTAGGTGTCTGGGCTGCCCCCCAACACTGGGCCTGGGGCCAGTTGCGTTTCTTGTCTATCACGTGGTTTCCCAGCTTAGTTGGGACCAGAGAGGAGCAAGGTCCAGAGTCAACTCTGCCCCAAACCCTAGGGTGACCAGAAGGGAGCAGGTAGACAAACAGATCTGATCCCTCGTGGGCCTTCCAGCCATGAGGCTCCTCTGGGGGCTGATCTGGGCGTCCAGCTGCTTCGTCTTATCGCTGCAGAAGCCCAGGTTTGGCAGGCGGGGTGCTGGGTGTTTGGGTGGGGGCCGGCCCGGCCGTGGGACCTGATTGAGGAGTGAGGGGTCTGGGGTGGCGGGGTGTGAGTGAAGTCTAATGCTGACCCTCACCGTTCCCCCTCAGATTGCTCCTGTTCTCTCCTTCTGTGGTTCGTCTGGGGGTCCCCCTCTCGGTGGGGGTGCTGCTCCAGGATGCCCCCTCGGGACAGACAGTGACAGGATCCGTGTTCCTGAGAAACCCGAGCTATAAAAATACCCCCTGCTCTCCGAAAACGGACTTCACCCTCAGCTCACGAAACAGCTTCGCACTCCTCAGCCTCCAGGTAATCGGCCCCACCCTGTCCTGCTCCTGGGTGCTCCCTCCCTGCTCCCCTCTGTCTTGTAAGTGGCTGTCTTCCTCCCCACCTCTCTTGTGCTTCCTCTCCTGTTTTGCCCTGACTCACTCCCTGTCCTGACAGGTCCCTCTGAAACACGTGAAGAGCTGTGGTCTCCAGCACCTTCTCAGAGGCCCTGAGGTCCAGCTGGTGGCCCAGTCGCCGTGGCTGAAAGACTCTATGTCCAAACTGACAAACATCCAGGGCGTCAACCTGCTCTTCTCCTCTCGCCGGGGGCACATCTTCCTGCAGACCGACCAGCCTGTCTATAACCCTGGCCAGCGGGGTGAGTCTGGGCCTCAGAGCTCCTGCCCTAACTTCTCCCAGCCCTGGAGGACATGTCTGGTGTCCCTTCGGTGAGATGACCCAAGAGCAAGTGCCAAGCGGGAGGGTCGTCACAGCTTCCCCCCTGCCCCCGGGGTTGGGCCCTCCCTCCCTTTGTGCGGGAACTCTGCTCACCGCCCCGTTCCACTCTCAGTCCGCTACCGAATCTTTGCTCTGGATCAAAAGATGCGCCCCTCCGTGGATGTCGTCACAGTCACAGTGGAGGTGCGTCCCTGACCTCTGACCCTCCTGACCCTGGCCGCTGATGTGACCCCCCTCGCCATGAGACCCCTCTGCTCTCCTTGCAGAACTCTCAGGGCTTTCTTGTGAAGAAGAAGGAAGTGTATGTCCCCTCGTTAATCTTCCAGGACGACTTCGTAATCCCAGACATCTCAGAGTGAGCTCCTCCAACTGGGGTCACCGCCCAGCGACCCGACCCCAATTCCTGTTTCCTCTTGAGCGCCCCACCTCCAACACACAGCATCCCATCCCGACCCGCCCTGACCCTGAGGCCTGAGGCTCTGCTTCCTTAGGGAGCAGGCCGCTGGCCCTCCAGCACAGGTGGGCTGAGTCCCTTCCTTCTCCACCCTCAGGCCAGGGACCTGGAGGATCTCGGCCCGATTCTCAGACAGCCTGGAATCCAACAGCAGCACCCAGTTTGAGGTGAAGAAATACGGTGAGAGCCGGAGGCATGAGGGACAGGCAGCTCCTGCCCTGAAAGAAATAAGGGGCAGAAGGGGGGGAGGCAGGGGCGGGGCAGGGCCATGGAGACATGGGAACTGCAGCCCTGGGGGCGGGGGTCTTGGAAGGTCCTTTTACTAGAGTCTGACCTGCCTACCCCTCAACCTGGGCCAGTCCTTCCCAACTTTGAGGTGAAGATCACCCCCAGAAAGCCCTATATCCTGACGACAGCCGACTCTCTGGATGAAATCCAGTTAGACGTGCAGGCCAGGTAGTGCTCCCCCTGCTGGGCCTGCTCCCTGGGCTCCCCATTCAGGTTGCGGAGGGGGGGATTGTGGAGCACCCCTTCCCCTCCCAGGTCATTCATGCCCCAGCCAGCTTCCCGGTCTCCCTGTGGCGACAGGTACATCTACGGGCAGCCAGTGCAGGGGGTGGCCTATGTGCGCTTTGGGCTCCTGGGTGAGGATGGTGAGAAGACTTTCCTTCGGGGACTGGAGGCTCAGAACAAGGTAGGAAGGAGGCCGGGGGAGGTGAGGGTAGTGCAGTGTGGGGGCTCCGATCTCACCCCATGTCCTGTATTTCTCTCTCCTCAGCTGCTGGATGGCCAGAGTCACATTTCCCTCTCAAAGGCTGAGGTCCAGGGTGCGCTGGGGAAGCTAAATATGACCATTCCTGACCTCCTGGGGCTGCGTCTCTACGTCGCAGCAGCCATCATCGAGTCTCCAGGTGGGTGACTTTTGCTTATTAAAGCCTCGGACCTCTGAGCCACCTCTTTCCCAGCACTTGCTGGCATCCTGACTTCTGCCGCCTCATCTCAGACCCAAAGCCGGGAGAGCCCCGCGAGACTTTGGCTCGCTCCGATTCTGTCCCTGGGGCATTCTGCTGGTCTTCCCTGTCTCTATTTATTTATTTATATTTGTCCATTCACTTATCCAGCAGAGGTAACGTTATACACTGTGCGGGCGCCAGGTCCTGGCCTGTGCCCTGAGAAGCTGTCTTGGGGGAGGGAGGTGCTCTAGCGCCCCCTGGTGCTCCGGCTCCTCTCTTCCTGGGGCTCTGCGCTCCCTCTTTCTGCCCTTTGTCTTGCAGGGGGTGACATGGAGGAGGCAGAGCTCACTTCCTGGCGTTTTGTGTCATCTCCCTTCTCCTTGGATCTCAGCGGCACCAAGCGGCATCTCGTGCCTGGGGCCCCCTTTCTGCTGCAGGTTTCTTCCGGAGGGGCAGGATGGGGGCGGGGTGTTGTCTAGAGGGCACAGGGTCTCACTGGCTGCTGTCTTCCTTGCCTGTCCCATCCACGTAGGCCCTGGTTCGAGAAGTGTCTGGCTCCCTAGCCACTGGCATTCCTGTCAAAGTCTCTGCCACATTTTCTTCTTCTGGGTCTGTTTCTAAAACCCAAGACTTTGAGGAAAACACAGACGACAGCGGCCACGTCAGCATTCCCATCGTTGTCCCTCCGAGCACTGCAAGTCTGCAGCTCTTGGTAGGATTGCTCTGAACCGTGGGGAGCTGAGGGCCGGGAAGGAGGGCGAGCAGGTTCCCGAGGGGCCATGGCCCAGCTTGGGCAAAGGAGTGGAGTCTGTGGGTCCTCGCCGCTGACCCAGGCCCCACCTGTGCCTCCCTGCAGGTGTCGGCAGGCTCCGGCAAGCAAGCCACGGCCAGGCTCACCGTGACAGCCCCGCCCCCA